ATTTGCAAAATTATTTAAACTGCCTCGTTAAAATTTAAGAATATGCTTTATTTAAAAGCATATTTAGCCAAAAATAATATCAAGTGAATTAACTTAACGTTCTACACACCTATAAAACTTTTGCTTTGTTTTGTATTGTTAATTTATATACATTTTTGTTTAAGAAATTACTAAACATTTTCGTCTAGTACTGTACCGTTCTAGCCGATCTCCTAAGACCGCCCATCGAGAGCTCTGCTCGTTCAAGCTTGTTCCAACTGTTTCTGTCTTGCTCACGCCTAGTGTGTATTCTTTCTATCTTCGCGCAGATTTCTTCAAGGTCACAATTCTAACAAATATGTTTTCCATACCTGATCCATTGTCGTATTTAAATCCGAATTAAGAAAAGTCTTATGGACATTTCTTTGAGTATTTAATTTCATATTTTAAAAATGTCATAATCATAATAAAGTCATCAGATCTAAGACAGGTTGGACGAACCTTCGCTCATTCCTATCCTGAGCTAATCTTCGCATTTCCCTAAACTACAACAACCCATACCCTTAACTATTTGCGAACAGTAATCTAATCTAGGTCTACCTCTACCCCTTCTAACTCCCGTTTCTGCCTCTAATATATATATCTGACTAGACCTTCATGCCTGAGAAGCTGTTCTACCAACCTATCTCGTCTATTTCGTATTGACTTCCATAGAGTTCTCTGTTCTCATACTCTTTCTAATATCTCTATTCCTAACCTTCTCTATCCACGGTATCCTCATCATTCGCCTATAACACCACATTTCGAACTTTTTCTTTTACACCGTGCCCACCGTCCACATTTCGCACCCGTACAGCGCCGCGCTCCAAACGTACACCTTTAACAATCTTTTTCGAATTTCTACATTAATTGTAGAATTTTAATTTTAATTTATATTAATCATAGTACTATTTATTTTAATTTGATTTTGTATCATTAACTTCAAAATGTTAAAACGAAAGGGTGGGAAAGCAACAAAAAAGACGCACTTATAGGGACGGAATTATTGCATAATATTTATTATTACGATATAACAGAATGAGACAACTTTATGTGTATATGATATACAGATATACGCAGCTATATGCATCCATAAAATTTATAAAACATTTAAATATATAATTTGTAATATTTTTCATTAACATAGCAGACAATCTTGAGATGTGATAACAATAGTTATTTGCAATAACGATTATCACCTGACAAAAGGAAGACGATAATAAATACATCAATGTTCAATAAGATTTGAGTAAAAAATGAC